AAGTGTTGAAAAAAAGAATGCATTAAGCCAAAAATAAAACGTTTTTTTTTGTGTGTGTTGTTGTTTAAAAGCATAGGGTCTGTTTTTTCTTTTAATATGTTGCATGTTTAGATATTCATACAACAAAATATTCTAGGGGCCATAACGTTTTTGTGAAAATTATCAAAAACACCGGCGGTGGCTGGTAACTTAAAAAAAAAACCCTGCTGGCGGCGAAAGAGTTAATACTCTCTATAATAACTGCAATGTTTAAATAATGTGGACGGTAAAGCCTAGATGAAACAGTATTTTTATCACCATAAAAAATATGTGCATCCCAATTCGTGTACTTATGCACTATTCTTTGCTGTTATGTAGTATAAATAGTGCGAGTAGTGTGTTCACACTGTAAGGTTCCAAATAGAATGTTATAAAACGGATAGTTCCGGTCCTTGATTCTGATTGGTTGAGCTCCGCGTCGTGCCTAGCAACGCCCCTTAGCTGTTCTAAATTCACTGTAAAACACGGCTTCGCGGGGCTTATTGCTTTATTAAATACCCAGATGATGCACTAAATTAACTGAAAAAATGAAGTGTGGAATGTTGGACATTTCATGCACTCGTCTGTCGCAGCTTTAATTATGCAACAGAGGGGGAGGGGCATCAGACTGAGGTTTAATGACAAAATAACCTTATAAAGTTCAAACTCTACACCGTTGAGTGTCGAGTACAGTGCGTCATTTGCAGGCAGTATTATTATTTTAAACTAAAACAAACACTTTAGAAATACAAAGACGGTGCATTCATGTTACGAATGAGAAAGTGAAATGCGCAATATGGCGGAATAAGTCCCGCCTTCTAAATAAAAGAGCCAATCGCAACTGCCGTCAGAAGCTCTGGTTGCAATAGAAACAGTCAAAATATGAATAAATGCAATTTTTTTTGCATAATAACCAAAAAAAAAGGACAAAGACTCTATTTTACACCCCTTCTCAGTTTATTTTCAGTTGCATAAAAAAACAAAACAATCGATGACATCTTTGAGTGAGCCCAGATCTACAGTTCGGCCAGCTGACAAGGTTGCCACATCTGCTTTGCACGTCAATACAATGCAAATGAAGATGATCTGCGTTCAATAGTCTGGTGGGTTGCAACACTGAAGAAGTCAAAGGTCACATGTTGCCTGTTGCTTGAATGGGGCGGAGCCTAATAATGCGAAACCCTGACAACGCACGACTGCTGACAGGTGCAACTAGGAGCAAATCAAATGAAACTCTAAATACAAAAACAACAATTGAAATCATGTTTGAAAGACAAACACACACTCACACAGAGATGGTTTCATGAGCACCACATGCATGTATGTGCAGAAAATCACTCTATGAGGGGGAATCTCACCAAATCTGACAAGAACAGGCCAAAAAAAACAATGAGTAAGTCATATTTTGCATGAAGAAAACCTTAACTCTCTCAATGCAAAATATTTCTATACGAGCCAGCCATGTGTTCATGAGATTCACCCCTCGCGTGTGCGTTTGTCTTTTCATTTGGATTCTTGATGCAAGACAGAAAATACACAAACCCCAAACCTGCCGGCAAACCATGAGGTTCCGCGTGCGTTTCCTCCCCTAAATAAAGCGGGAGGCCACCAACTATTCACGGAAAATAGTTCAAAAACACTTCCTATGCTCCCCGTCTAAAACTCATATTCATATGCCGTTTACAAGATTACATGTAGCTTATTCATAACTAGATGACTGGCTTGTGTTAAATCAATATCAATGCACACAGTCGTCAAAAGCCAGAGAAATTGACACGTAATAGCTAGATATACCGTTAAAAGATTTGACCGCCGTCCTCGGCAAACAAATTTGTTAAAAGTTAATAGTTTTAAATAGAACGACTTGCAAAAAACGACCACGGCAAAACGGCCTATATATTGACAGCCATTGTTGCTTAATTTCATTTCGACTCATGCTTGATTTTTTTTACTTTTTCAACATCTCACATTGTCTATTTAGGAAGCTGAACATTGCAGGGCAGTAATGGGAGCCTGTCTATCAGCAGCTCGCCAACTAAAGAGCAGTCGTCCAACTCGCAGGGGTTTCCAAGGCCACTATTGTCTCCCAAAACCTGATTCTACCGTTCATTCTAGCAAAACATTCGAAATCCTCCACAACCCGCGACACTTTTTACATACACGTTTATCTTTTTTTTTTTCTTCTTAATTTTTAAAGCGATCGCCTTAAAACAGTGCAAAACGAAAGTAATCCTGTGCAACAGATCTACTTCTAAAAACAAAAATCGCATTCATGAAAAACGAGTAGATGAATCATTCAGAAAACATCCTTGCGTTCAAACAAAATCGAACGCAACGTAATATTTGTTGGGCAACCCTTTACTTAAAGCCTTTATATATATTATACTTCATTATAAATGTGTTTTTAATGCACCTTATAATGCATTGTATGATATCATGGATCATTGTAACTACAGTTATAAATTATACAAATCTATACCTTTAGATACACTCACCTAAAGGATTATTAGGAACACCATACTAATACTGTGTTTGACCCCCTTTCGCCTTCAGAACTGCCTTAATGCAGTTGCACATCCAGGGCACGAAGCTCCCGTTCCACCACATCCCAAAGATGCTCTATTGGGTTGAGATCTGGTGACTGTGGGGGCCATTTTAGAACAGTGAACTCATTGTCATGTTCAAGAAACCAATTTGAAATGATTCGAGCTTTGTGACATGGTGCATTATCCTGCTGGAAGTAGCCATCAGAGGATGGGTACATGGTGGCCATAAAGGGATGGACATGGTCAGAAACAATGCTCAGGTAGGCCGTGGCATTTAAACGATGCCCAATTGGCACTAAGGGGCCTAAAGTGTGCCAAGAAAACATCCCCACACCATAACACCACCACCACCAGCCTGCACAGTGGTAACAAGGCATGATGGTTCCATGTTCTCATTCTGTTTACGCCAAATTCTGACTCTAACATCTGAATGTCTCAACAGAAATCGAGACTCATCAGACCAGGCAACATTTTTCCAGTCTTCAACTGTTCAATTTTGGTGAGCTCTTGCAAATTGTAGCCTCTTTTTCCTATTTGTAGTGGAGATGAGTGGTACCCGGTGGGGTCTTCTGCTGTTGTAGCCCATCCGCCTCAAGGTTGTGCGTGTTGTGGCTTCACAAATGCTTTGCTGCATACCTCGGTTGTAACGAGTGTTTATTTCAGTCAAAGTTACTCTTCTATCAGCTTGAATCAGTCGGCCCATTCTCCTCTGACCTCTAGCATCAACAAGGCATTTTCGCCCACAGGACTGCCGCATAACACTGGATGTTTTTCCCTTTTCACACCATTCTTTGTAAACCCTAGAAATGGTTGTGCGTGAAAATCCCAGTAACTGAGCAGATTGTGAAATACTCAGACCAGCCCGTCTGGCACCAACAACCATGCCACGCTCAAAATGGCTTAAATCACCTTTCTTTCCCATTCTGACATTCAGTTTGGAGTTCAGGAGATTGTCTTGACCAGGACCACACCCCTAAATGCATTGAAGCAACTGCCATGTGATTGGTTGATTAGATAATTGCATTAATGAGAAATTGAACAGACGTGTTCCTAATAATCCTTTAGGTGAGTGTAGTATAATGCATTAAAACATAATTTCAGATGTAACAAGACATCTGCGAATATAATGCATTTTACTTCGGTTACAATTATTTATGAAAAGATACAATGCATTATGACATTTATAATGCATTAAAGATAAAGGCTTTGAGTAAAGTGTCACCATTTCATTTTTTCGGAATAATTTGCGTTCTGCTTGCATTTCACAAACGAAGCCTATTACATGTACATTTATACTTTTTTTTTTTTGTAAAAAAATGCGACTTCAAGAGTAAAAGAAAGTAATAATAATAACAATAATGCATAACATTAAGGACACTATAACACATTATAAACAGGGACGCGGCCCGAGACGGAACAGGAAGAGGAAACTCAAGAGATCCGACTGATGTTCATGAAGAACCTGACCACTTCATGTCCAATGTGTCCTCACACACACACACCTCCCGCAGCCATCTGCTGTGTGTGTGTGTGTGTGTTTCTGACAAAAGAAAGCCAGCGTGACCCCAGCTGGACGCCCCTGTGGGTCGACGGCGTGCTCCTGACGCCTGGGGGCCGGAGCGGGACGGATGGATGAAGCACAGCCTCCAGAACACAGAAAACACACTCTCTGGGGTTCAGCACGTCCAGGGAATATTTGACAACAAAATCAAAAGAAAGAAATAAGGATTTCGCTTAAAGAAAATGAAGCCTATTTTTAGGACCATTAAGACTTTGTTCATTTTTGGGCATTATTTTCATGAATATTAAGCACATTTGCAGCTACAATAACCTCCCACCACACCCAATAAAAACTTTAATATAAAAAATAAATCAAGAATTAATTAAAAAATAAAATCTCGAAAAACGAATCATCCCTTTGTTACATTTATGACAGTATTTATGCATTATGCAATTTTAACAATCATGAAAATAATGCAACAAAATGTTTAAAGAATTTCAAATATTCCTTAAATTGAAGCCTATCACTAGGAACAATTCGATTTTGCTGCACTGTGATATAACTATCATGAATATTTAGTGCATTTGTAACGCAATTCTTAAAAAAATTATCATCACTCTAATGCAAAAAAATAACAATGAATTAATTAAATTGTAAAGTATTTATAAATCATGATATATTTTTTGGGGGAAATGTGCTTAACTGATGAAAATAATGACAATGCAAAAAAAAAAAACATCTTAAATATAGAAAATTAAATTAAAAAAAATGAATAGAAATGGTCTTATTCTCAAAATTATTATCATCACTCTAATGCAAAAAATAATGATGCATTAAAGAAATGATAAAATATTGATGAAAAGGGTTAAAAAATAGGCTTCATTTTTTGTGCAAACAATTTTTTTCTTTAGATTTTTTTTTTTTTTTACATTTCGTAGATTTTTCTTTAGATTTCTCTTTCTGTTGACATTTTGTCTAGAAAGAATGGCAGGCAGACAGTGTGCGTGCGCGTCTAATGACTGTCTGGTTTTGCGTCTGTATGTCTGAGTCAGCTCATGAATATGCAGATGTGAAGTGTGAACATATACATATTCATTTCAATCTGCATATTTTACCCTCTGACCTCTGACCCTCATCCCACAACGCCCTGTCTCATCCATCCTATAGCAGAATGCTTGTGTGTGTGTGTGTGTTGTAGTGTGTCCGTGGCCTGTAGTGGTTAGTTAGACGAGTCTCTGGATGTGTGTGTTGTGTTGCGCAGTGGTCAGGCCGTGAGCTTCTGGATGGTTCTGTTGTAGTATGCAGTGGTCAGCGCCTCCAGTGGGCTCCAGTGGTGAGCGTGAAGCTCGATGACCTCCATCAGGAGCGAGCGCGTCAGCTGGGACTCAGCCGGACACAACATCTTATCCCGCACCGCGGCCAGCAGCTCCGTCATCATCTCGGGAAGCTGCTCCTCCAACAGCCGGCCGGTGCTCTGGAGCTGCAAGAACATCCAGACGAGAATCAGCAACGACACAAACAGAGGCAGAAACCTTCCTTCCCCTGTTCTCCTAGGAAATGATTATCTCAGGAAAAAGTGTGAGACTGGGACTCTGTGCCACCAAATATCAACATTTATTTGAAAATATCCTGTAATATTCCTTTAAAGATGAATGGAGAAAGAGAGACAAAGAGGGGGCAGGAATCACTGAGTGTTTTTAAGAGGAAATAAGATGTTCAAAGGGAGACGGACACACTCAGGCTCAAGGAAGGGTCAGAGGTCAACTCCACAGGGGGGACCGAGAAACAGATGCTCGTCTGAGTGAGAGAGACAGACAGAGAAAAAAGAGAGAGAGAGAGAGAGAGAGAGAGAGACAGACACTGGACGGAAGCAGTCGGATGTCCAGACAAACTGTCTCCTGATGATCCGGTTTGCGGGCGGTGGGACATCATCCACACTGAACATCATATTGGTTTGTTTTGGATATATATGTGTGTGTTTTGGATATACACACACAGGTACACACATTATATATGTTTGTGTGTGTGTGTACATGTATATACAGTATACACACACACGTATATATATATATATTTTTTTTTTCCATTATTGTAATATATATTGTATATACCATTGATATATTACCATTTTGAATATCAATCACGCTGATCAATTTCTTCATTCCAGTCGGCTCATGTTAATATGAAAATATTTGTGCATTGGTATGCTCAGGTAAGATGATGTAAAAAACAGCGCTCTGTCTGTACCGTCTTTTTTTGCTCGCTCTCATCACTTTCGCTTTTATTCTCGTGCACTGACTCGTTCGCTAAGCTGAACAGCCAATCAGAACTCTCTCTCCCCGCTGCCGACGCCTATTCAACATGCTGAATCGACCAAAAAAACAAAAAACAACGGCGTCCGACTAGAGCCAGCGGTGCGCAGACACTCGTAAACGCCTGACCGTCTGTTGTGTCCTGGGCTTTATCCATCCGTCAGTCTCATTCTCTCTCTCCCTGATCTTGATCATTATGAATGTGTTACAGCAGTTTTCACGATCTCAGAGATGCTGTTAAACTCAACTCACCTCCATAGAACAGCAGAGAACAGCGTCTTCCTTCACCTCAGGAGAGTCCAGGAGCTGAAACACAGAACACACTCCTTACGTCAGTCGGTGCAGCGATTGACCAATCACAGTCAAGTACAAGTCACCTTTATTTATATAGCGCTTTATACAATAATACAGAGGGTTTCGAAGCAGCTTTACAGTGATAAACAAGAATCAATTATAGTTCAATTCAGCTATAAAGTCATTGGTGGTGTTATTCACTTTGAGTCGGTTCAATGTTGATTCCATTCATAAACAGTTTTTCAAAAAACATTTTTAGTACATTTATGCATTTGGGAGATGTTTTAATCCACTGCATCAAAGATATAATTTAAGGCAAGACAGGTGAATAGGGTAAAAATATGAACTAATTAATATCACCATACTTTCCCCAGTAGATTAATCACAGTAGACATTAGTGCTGTATAGCAAGTTTTCTGAAATGTTATGTTTAAATATGCAAATGGTGCATTATCTAATAATATATGCACTAATTTGCATACATTTCCAGAATGGATAAAAATTGCCAGAGGATAAAATTCTTGTTTCATTATGTTGACATATTAAAGGGGTCTTTTGATGCTTTTTAATGTTTTCCTTTTCCTTTAGTGTGTAATGTATCCGTGTGTGCATGTATACGACGAAGTTACAAAGCTCAGTGTCGCATAAGGGATTTATCAACACTGATCCAGACCTGCCTAAAACGCCTCGATCCAAAACCACAAATTTCTTCCGCAAACGTCTACGTCACAATCTGAAATATCATCATAATTAGACAAAGGCAAACGCAAAAAGAGAAGACGAGGCTTCAGTTAATTGTAGAGTCGTCGCGGCGTGGAGACATGGTGTGTTTGGATGTGAAAGCAAAACTGTTTTATCTGGCCTCCCGAAAGCGTTCTGCTCAAGCTATTCTTTTGGTTGGCTCACCCGCATTTTCAGAACAGACTCAAAACTGATTACTACGGTAAAAGTGGCGACATTATTGACTGTGTGTTTACAATTGCTTAAAGAGTTAGTTCACCCAAAAATGAAAATGATGTCATTAATGACTCGCCCTCATGTCGTTCCAAGCCCGTAAGACCTCTGTTCATCTTCAGAACACAGTTTAAGATATTTTAGATTTAGTCCGAGAGCTTTCTGTCCCTCCATTGTAAATGTATGTACGGTATACTGTCCTTGTCCAGAAAGGAAATAAAGACATCATCAAAGTAGTCCATGTGACATCAGTGGGTTAGTTAGAGTGTGTTGAAGCATCGAAAATAGGGCTGGGCGATATGGCTGAAAACTGTATCACGATATCAGTGTTTCATATCGGTCGATATCGATAATTATTGATTTTTTTTATGACCCATTTAAAATAAGGACCAGGAGAAAAAATATATTACATTTAAACATTTTTATTTTAAACTTAACCTTCCTCTGATTACAATCCCAAGACAGAAATGTCAACACAACCATGGAAAACTCAAATAATTAAGTCTAAATTCACAATCAGACCTGCAAACTCCTCAGAGTAAAAAAGGTGACAGTGGCGCGGCGGGACGGGGGTGGTTTTTTTAGACATCACTGTTCGGTACGATTTCGCTACAATGGAGTGAAAAGCAAAACAGAAATATAGAAGGCATTTTTATAAATGTCTTAAGCCTTGTATTTTTTAAATAACTTTTATTAATAAAGGCATAGAACCAGTTTATTTATAGTGCACTGATAATAGTTTTATATAATTGGTTTATTAATTAAACTAATAAAAAGATAGATATGAGATATGTTTGGTAATTGTACCTGAATGAATTTAAAATTAATTTGCAATATTTCAGATCAATATATTTGTTTTCCTTAATTTTAATTAACCCTAACTTTATTCTCATCAGAATTATAAATAATTGATTTCCATATAAAATAATCTACCAACATATTTCACTTTCTTTTTTAATCAATGTGTAACTTAAAAATAAACAGATTAGTGCTCTGTTTTGAGGGCAAGAAATGAAAACCAATGCGATATGATGAATGTCCAAAAGATGGAACACACAGACTGTTTTACAAAGGGGTTGGATAAATATGTTTTGCTTTTAAAACGGTGTGTACAGTTGTAGGCTACAGTTTGACAAGAAATACAGTGTGACAAAAGGACAATGTTGTGTTTTATTGCGAGTATAGGCCTACACAAATATTGTAAACACTTTGCAGACTGACTGATGTCCTGTATTAACAAAATGACGGAGTATGTTTTTATGTCTCCACTGTTCGATCGCGCCCGCGTGCCTCTCTCTCTCGCGCCTCTCTCTCTCGCGCACGCGGAGTCGGACACACACACACACACACACACACACACACACTCCAGCATTGCAATCTTGACATCGCAGCCTGTTCATTATGCTGTGTTCACAACAAACGCGAATAGAGCGAATTATCCAATAATGTTTCGAATAATAATTCTAGCCTGCATGGCATGCAGATGAAGGGCACTCATTTTCTGCTTATCAATCGCCGGTTACTGATGAGGAACCCAGCAGCACGAGACAACGATGGCGCAACCAAACTTTTTTCTTTTTTTTTTTTGATGGCGCTGTCGCTACTCGATCCGTACCGGTTACACGATCTGTACTGCGCATGTGCGAGAACGAAGTTTTTCCGCCACTTCCTGTCATCATCAATGTTTTTACGACAACTTCACTGTCACTACTCGATCCGAACTTTACTGGCACGATTTGTACTTTACTGTCCTGCATGTGCGAAAAAAACATGGATTCTTTTGCATTTTATGTGAAAGTTCAAGAATTTCTCTTAAAAGGAGAAATGCCTGACAATCCCGCTGAGCGTCGGAAAGTGAAACGGTCGTCTGCGAATTTTATCATCAAAGGTAACTATGACAAGTAAGACTAATCCAGGATTATGCCTTAGTTCAATTGTGTTGTGTAACAATATATCGTGCCACAATATTTCGTAATACAAAAATGCAACAATACGTATTGTGGATAGTGACAATATGTATCGTGGATAGTTCACCCAAAATAAAAATTACTGTGTGAGGAAGAAATTTGATGTTTTCAGAGTTTTTGTGTAAGTACTACTACATTAAACTACTTTATAATGTTGATTATAATGTGTAATAAATGGGGAATATTTGTGGGTCCTGATAATCAATGCCAAACGTCTTATGTTACCAGAATGTTAAGTAGGCTATATTCGTCTAAAATAATTAAGTATTTTCAGCTTCAGAATCATGAATATGTTTATTCTGGTGGAAACATCCTTGGGTTACAAGCACCAATTCCAAGCCTATTAATTTAAACCCACAATGCAATATCAAAGTTAGCATTTTAATCAACAGTGCATTTTGTGTTAACCTTTTATAATATTTCTTGGGAGTATCGCAATAATATCGTATCGTGAGTTCAGTATCGTGATATGTATCTAATTGTGAAATGAGGGTATCATTACTGCCAGCTTTTATAAACATGCTTTAGAAAAAATAAACTTTACTCGTGTGTATCTTGAGACAAAAAATGGCACTGACATATTTTTAAATGTATCAGTCACGGTGTTGCTTTTAGTTAAAACAGCTCAAATATGCATTTTACACTCTGGGCCTTGTCTGTGTGAAACCGGGGGTAAGAAAGAACCGGAAGATTTTATAATGAAAAATAGAAGAGAACTGACTGACTGGTACAACCTCATGTGCTAAATGAACAAATTAGTTTAAAATATCAAGTTATTTTAATTGTTTAAATTTGAGTTGTTTTACTTGTTCAGCTCCCATATCTGTGTATTAATACGTGACTTTTATGTAGTTAAACCTGTCAGATATCAGATAGTAATATGATATTTTTCTATTTACTTTGAACTTCAACTCTTTCAGACGTTTTCTTTTTTCCTTTTAAAACAGACGACAGACTCTTCTACATCGGCCCCAGTATGCAGTATATGCGGCTAGTTGTCCTGTCAGAGGAAAAGAAGAGGTCTGTTCTCACGGAGTGCCATAATAATCCTGGGACTGGCAATCATAGTGGCGTCAGAGGCACTCAAAACCGGGTTATTGCTGGCTACTATTGGTCTACAATTATCCAGGACGTGAAAGAATGGGTAATTTTACAAACTTAATGGGTATCTTATATCTATACTTAAGATTGTGTCAACTTTTGCCACCTTTGTTTGATACCTCCTTGTTTTAAAAGTTATATTTGATGTGGATCAAAAAAGTTAATCGAAGTTGTCCTAAGACAAGAATGGGTATTGTTCAAAAGTCATATATAACTTTAATAAAAAGGTCTTTATCCACTTAAAATGTTGACTACTGTATTATCACCAACTTGTATCAACTGCAGTAGCATATGGACTTAACATATTAAAGCCACAGATGCCATGTCACTTAATTTTAATACCGCCTCTCATCAACTGGCTATTTTTCTAGACAATTTGTTGAAAAAATGTGTTGCTTTTTAGGTCAGATGTTGTCACCGCTGCCAGCTGAATGACCCAATCAAGACTGTTGTGCCAGTTTTGCATTCCATTAAGGTACTGCTTACAATGTTTTAGCATACTGATGAAACTAACAAGCTAGTCTCAAGCTTGTGTACAGTTTTACCAGCATTTGACTAATACTAATTTTGTGGCATGCAGGTAAAAGAAGCTTGGGAGGTGGTTGGTTTGGATCTGATTGGACCACTGCCAGAAACGGTATTTATTTTAATGTATGCGTGTTCAGTAACTTATAATGTTCTTTCCATAAGGGAAAAGATGTTCACATTGTGGACCTTATGTGGTTCCCACCTGGAAAGACCAAAATGTGGACCCATTGCATTGTTTGCCTGCAAGTGCTTTGTTTGTGTTTTTTTGCTATCATACTCATCAACCAAGAAATAACTCTTTTGGGAACAGGCACAGAAGTATATGATTATTGAATAATATTTTGTTCCAATACTATTAGGAAAACGTGAGGTCCAAGGATCTGATACTATTTCCAGCTTGGAGCAGACAGCCGAATGAAGCGGATCACTATCTGCTCTGTGTTGAGTTTTTTTTTTCTATAA